CTCCTCTGAGGCTGGGACTCTAAACAGTGTTCTGTGCTCGTCTGTGCAGCCAAAAACAGAACAGTTAGCATGTTTTGTTCAAACTTTCGCCATGGCATTAGAACTGGTACACCGTTGTCACTTGCGAAATCAAATGACGGAGCCGTGGGTGGAAACTTACAGATTAAGGGGCGGTGATATTGTAATGAGATCCCTTTGCCACGTCACCAAGGGAGCGAAATCAGACCCGCTCCTTTTCTCAGATGCTTGCAGAAAAAGGCTTCCCAAAACAAAGTTACTAGGTGAATGTTTTTCACGTTTCCTTGGTAGATGCACTGGGGACCTGATTATAGCACTTAAAACCTGGAAAAGTCAGATTTTCATGATACGTCACCTTTAACTTCCACACAAAAAAATCACTTTCTAATTCTTTCCCATATTTTCCATTAACAACACTGCCCATCTGTGTGACACTTTCATTGGCTCATCATAAATTAGATCATAAAACTGCGAGTCCAGTGAAAAAAAAAAAGGACTTTTCTGTCCATTTTTTTTTCACAGAAAGCCACGCCTCTTGGCAATAAAAATCTGTCTCGAGCTCTCTGATTGGTTGAAACCGAGAGGCGGCAGTAAATTCCTCGCACTCATGTGGTTAGTTACTCTGAATATAACAGCTGCTTTGAAATGAGAGCAATACATTGCGTCCTTTTCAAAAGTTACTCTTTAATACTTTTCGTCTGTGGTTATTACAAAGATGTCAAGCATTTAACACAGACCCAATGAAACCGACAAAAACACATTCAGTTGGCGGACAGAACATCACAGACACACACACAAACAGTACTATAATCTCCCATTAACGTACAAAAACACACACAAGGCCACGAAACAAAGAGGGAAAGAGATTACAGAATCCCTCTCTTTATTGACTAAAGTCATGTTTATTTTAGTAAAGATGTTTGAAACCTGCGCTAAAATGAGCATAGAGACGTAACACGAGCTGTGACGCCTCACAGGAAACAGGAAGTGGAAAAACAGCCTCTGACGAAACCATCCATGTTATGATGCAACTAAAAAAGTATATGTACAAAAATTACAAGACAATCCGGTTTCTCACCTGGATACACGTACAGTGTCACACTCGCACACATACAAACAAAAATATACACACATCTCTGTGTTGTACAGACAGATATAATCATAACTTCATAACAGCACTGAAGTACCTAAAGCATACAGATTCCCTACCAGCACGCTCCTCTCGAGCAAAGAATCCGCTCGTATGGACTTTGTATGATTTGAAGTTTCGACTATCAATGCGTCTTGCTTATCTCTATATTTTAGAGCCATATAAAATCATTTCCATTTGGGGTAAATGTCTGAATACAAAAAAAGGCACTGCCATTTGTTATTCTAGATATGACTTCCCAGCCTCTTGCATGCATCTCTAAAATATAAATTACCTTTTTTTTTTTCGTGTTTTGTTTAATTTTTTCGCGGTTTTTATTTGGTTTTATCGTTTCATAAACATAAGATTCTTTTAAAATATATATTTTATATATGTATATGTACGTCAGCCTGCAGTCAATACAGGACATCGGCTCTTGAAAAAAAAAATGCTAAGAAAATAAAATAAAAAACAAAACTAAAATCAAAGATCATAGTAAAGCAAGACCCTTCAGAATAGAGGGGAAAAAACAAATCAAATAAAAATAAAATAAAATCGATCAGCATCAGAGTTTCGATATGCTAACGCCCAAAACCTTTTACAAAACAATGCAACAAAAAAAAGGTATCGTCAACGCTAAAACGCTAGTTTTATTTTTATTTTTTCGGAATACCAAGGCAGCATGTAAATGTTAACACTGTTACAGCATTGTAATTTTGCTGCATGTTTGCAGTCAAGCGCATTTGGAAAAAAATTAACTAAAGCTTGCTCGCAATGAGGGAACGAATCTGAAAAACATTTAAACAAACCAGAGCTGAATAAGCATCATTCTTCGTTATCCAATCACAAGCGAGCAGCATTCTTCGTAAAGAACTACGCAATGACGCTACGCCGTAAGTATTTGGCATTAAAGGGGTCATATGATGCGATTTCAAGTTTTCCTTTCTCTTTGGAGTGTTACAAGCTGATTGTGCATAGATAAGATCCCTAAAGTTGCAAAGACTAAAGTCTCAAAACCAAAGAGATATTCTTTATCAAAGTTAAGACTCTGCCACGCCCCCCTAAAACGGCTCGTTCTAACACACCCCACATATCTAC